TGCAGGACCCTACATTTGCCCTTGTTGAACCCCACTAGGTTCCTCTCTGCCCAGATCTCCAGCCTGTCCAGGTCTTGCTGAACGGCAGCCTTCTGGTGTGTCAGCCACTCCTCCCAGTTTTGTGTCATCAGCAAACGTGCTGAAGGTGCGCTCTGTCCCTTCATCCAGGTCATTGATGAACATGTTGAACAAGATCAGACCCAGTACTGACCCCTGGGGAACACCGCTGGCCACAGGCCCCCAGCTGGACTCTGCGCCGCTGATCACAACCCTCTTGAGCTCTGTCCTTCAGCCAGTTCTCAACATACATTACACTGAATCAGGAATATCTACACTTGATCAAGTTGTCACAAAAACTTCTTTCTAGTCAAATCAATCAAGTTCTTTTTAAAGCTATTATTCCATTGTTCAAAGATTACTCATAATTATTGTAGACTAATTTAATCTCGCATATTGTTCATAAGGTGGCTTTGCATTTCAAAGAACTTTGTCTTTGACAAAACGACCGTGAAATTGGTTGCGTCAGTTTTCTCCAATTCCTAATTTTTACTGCCTAAATATACTCAGAAGAAAGCATTCACTGGTGGTTTAATTTCCACGAAGCAAAATATACCTACAGATAAAGCAGTAAAACTCTACCTTCATCATTATTATTTTTTTTTTTTTTTAAGGTGGGAGAATCAATTATACTATTTGTTCTTTACAATAAAGGCAGCCGGATACCATGCCAAAGAATAGTTATTTAGTCACAGCAACAAGAGCTATTTTGGTAGCTGAAGAGCAAGCAGCTGCATGAATTTCTAAATGCATTAAAGCATCTTTGTAGCTCCTCCAAATTCAATTACTTAACCAAATTTATAAAATTTAATCATACCTGTTCTCTTTGTTGCAGTAATCAGTGAAATCACTTTCATATCTTGTATTTCCTGCTTTGGTCTCTGTTTCCTTGGCTTTAGAAGAGTCTACTTTATGATTATACTTGGACAGAATCTACAGGAAACATCAAAACAGAATTAGAGTTTATACATTTTTTTAATAAGTAGCAGAGAACTCCTCCTTTCTGAATAACAAAATTTGACAGAACTAGAAGCCCTTTTAATTTTACTATTTTGATATTTAAACCATTTAGGAAAAAAAGGTATATTAGCTAACCTGTAGAACATCATCTGGTATCCTTGTTATTTCTGGAGGCGGAGGAGTATTGAGTAACTGGTCATAGTGTTTTATTTGGGGAGGTGAAGGGTCTCCAAAATGTTTAAGATACTCGTCAGAGCTCAGAGTAAAAGGAATGCTACCTTTTACATACTGTTTCTCTCTTGCATCATTCTTTGTCACAGACTCAGTCTTTTTCTCCTGCTTTACCTGCTGCAAAAGAGGTATTAAATGCCTTCAGTTAGGTTACTTATCTCGGATATGTAACCTAATATTTAATATTAGGTTAACTGATATTAGTATTTAATAAATGTACTTACAAAATTAGTTAATTAATATTAATATTTAATAAATGTACTTAGAAAATTACCATTAGAAAGATCTTCTACAATGACATAAGGAAAAGTAGTATTGGAAGAGAAACCCAAACCGACATTTGAAAAATCGCTTTTGGTAAAAAGGGTGTGAAAATGCACATAATTGCTATTGATTACCTTAGCTTCCGTTTTTAGCCATCTTGTTTCAAATTCTGGAAACCGTGGTGTTCCTGCATGACTGGGAAGAGGCAGTTCATTTGTCTCTGCTGACCTTGATAATACCGTTGCTCTGGACTGGATTTTCACATCAGGAGTGCAGAACACAAGTACCATAGGAGAAGCCATCCAGTCAGCCGCTGAAATTCAGATGTGGGCAGGGGACAAAAATGAAAATATAAACATACACATATATAAATATTATCAGTTCCAGTGCCTCAGTTTAGTTTTCTAAGTCTATTAGCTTTTCACAGACCTGCATACTCTAAACCGCCTGTATCATTTTAGCTGATACTTTCAGGACCATCAAATTACAGAATTCCATAACAACAACTAATGTAGAAAAAAAAAAAGTAAATCTAGTCCCACTACTGAATATAACTGGAAAAGCCCAATTTAAATCAAATTGCTTTAGTTTCTCATATATTCAGTTGTCACTGTTTGTCCCAAGATCTGCAAGCATTTTCAAGGGAACATATTACATGTCCTCTCAAAGGAGTTTTAGCACCACTCTTGAAGGATCATTAGCCTCTTTCAAAGCAGTTTCTTTCCTATCCTTAAACAGATCTAGCGGGTATTCTCAGAAAAAAACAATGCAAAACAGTACTTTTATTTCAAATAAAGATAAGTTGCAGTCAAAGTGATGGATCCCTCTGCATAATTCTAGATGGATGTGAGTAGAAGAATGAGCAAAGATTTACACTAAAGGGAGAAACTTTCCCACAGAAGCCACGAACATTTTGTTTTCTAGACGTTGGTACTCAGACAATGACTGGGCCTGAATTAATTATATTTAACAAGAAACACAGTTTAAAAGTTTACCGTGTGTTTACAAGGCATTTACACACGCATTATGTGCAATAAATATATACATGCGTTTTTACATGTTTTTAAACTTACACTTCTCAGCTGTCACTTTCAGTTTTTGCCCAGGAGTAATCATGATTTCCCTGGATGTCATTTCTGGTACACTCACTTCATGATCATCTTTTTTAATCAACCTGAAAACCAAACCCCTCCATTAGCTCTCAAGTAATATGGATAAATCACAATTAAAGGAATACTGTCAGCTTGATCACTTCTCTAGTATGTGTTCATCAACACTCAAATCAAAAATTCGTTTCCTCAGAGATGACTTTTTCATAATTTTTCATCTAGGATTCTACCGCAGCCACTTGTAGCATGCAAATGTTCAATCCATCCACAAATTATCAAATACACTGAGATTTCAATCCAAGGCATAGCCCTCCCCCAAAATACAACCCAAAAGGTGTCCAGGGTCAGATCAGTTTTCTTTGTCCCAGATGATCAATTCTGCGTTAGGGGTACAGACTACTTTATTTACAATTGCCTGTTGGCTGCAAAATTCTAAACAAGAGGAAATCTTTTGGGCTTTTAAGCTACTAACGTTACTGTGAACACTAAAAGATTTTTAGTTCAATTTTTAAGCTTGAATAAAATTACTTCTATTAATCACTAGCTGATTTCAGAGTGAAAAGTCATTTAATATTAATTCCACAAAACTAGAAAACACAATTTCTAAAATTCTTTTTTCATATGCAGGATATTCTAGGGTAAGAAGGCTGTAGGCAGGGAAGAGACAATACAAGACAAAAGGCGGAAGCTTACCTAAGTTCTACACAAAAGTGTGTCTATAAGAAAATTATTTTAAATGTTTAAGAAGTCCTTAACTATAAGAACCAGATTTAGAGCTTCCCTACAAAAGGTCTAAGAATTAAAAAAAATAATCCCTTTGAGGCAGTATATTTTACTTAGATGAACACATCTCAAATTTTGATTAAAAAAAAAAAGTAGTAATTTTTCAAGTCAGTTGCGCCTTGGAAATATTACAGATACCAGAAACCATATGATTTTTAGTTTTTACAGTGGAGAAGAACAAGTATAACAATAAACACTTTTGTTCAGACACTTTCCTTTTTTTTTTTCCCCCTTCTTTTCTTTACTAATTACGTTTGGTTTCAGTTTTGTAGTAGGTGCACCAAAGCATATTGTTCTTCTCACCTGCTCCAAAACTGAAGACCTGAAAAACGAAGCTGGAGGAGTTGAGGGCTACTAAATATTTTTAAGAACTCTGAGATGATTTTTTGAAGTGGTTTTCACACAACGCATAGCTGCTAGACAGATTTCAGCTACGTACAAGACCTGGCCGGCACAAGCAAGGGATATAAAAGGGCAGGGATGTCTCCAAGAAAGTCAGAATTATTACCTTTGTACCTGGAAACTACAGGTATAAGGCTACCTCATTTGTACTAGGTTTTTTTTTTTGCTTATCTGATCCTCGGGGGAGAGATTCTGCCCATTATTCAGTGAAAAAATATCTTTCTTTTATTAATTTTTTGTTGTTGCTTGTTTTTTGTTATTTGCTGGCTTAGAGTTCTGCCCACTGAACATGCTGAGCCTTCTCACCAAGAGCTGAGATGAGTGCTTTTTGGAGGTAAGAAGCTGTTTAATTGGTTCAGCCTTTCTGATCAAACAGCAAGCTAACCCTAACAATGCTGCAAAACAAACAAACCAAATAAGCTAGAAGACAGTTAAACAACATTTTAACTCTAATGACTTAATGTCGTGACCTCTCACATATGCCACTAATTTTGAATCCGTACGCAGCTTTAACTTGTCACAATTAGCTTGTGTCCATCTGCTTTGGTCATTAATAACAATGATGTGTTAAAGAGCAATCACACTATAACT